GCCTTTTTCGCGGGATTTTGCATTCCTCATGGGAAAAGTCGGAATCTGGACGCAGGTGGCCCAGGTGTGCGGTTTGCTCTTGAATTTCCCAAAAACCACAGGTTTTTGTTCAATCTTCAGCCGGCAGGACCGGCAGTCTTGGCTGGACCCCTGAAGGATCGAACCAAGAATCGGAAGTGGAACACCCACCACCGAAACAATCAACGACATGTTCATTGGTTTGCAGACCAAGGCCTTACACACATGACCAATCATGTGTAACAACTCACCCGTTGGCCAGAAAACACCGGGGGTTCGGGTCATTGGTAAAAAGACACGATTTAGTATGCACAGTGGTTTCTCATGTACAGTGGTCCCCAAGGCGCCCAACACGATGTCCGTTCGACAGATGGGGGTCCACTACTAAACCACGGACATTGGGGTCTGTGCCATTGGGTCCTCTCAATCCACTATCAGAACAGCTCGACGGACCAGGCGGTGCGCAGTCCATCGATTTGGTCACGCTGATGCGTGAATGCGGCCACTGGGTGTGTAACCACACGCAGACATTGATGCCATAAAGTATGGAGGAATGATGCCTAGTTTTATGGATTTCTGTGGTAGGGATTTAGTTTACATACAGTACTATACTGTATCATATTGTGCACATCTATCTCTGGTTTCTTCTGGAGGTTCGTGCTTTCATGTCACCAGGGTTGATTCTGAGAAGAGCTGAGCTCCTCCGGCAGTTCATTAGGATCCATCGCTCAGCAACTCTTGTATAGGTGAAGCTTGCCATCGCTCACCGCCCCCCCGATGGAACAACGACTCGACTCGATACGAAACGCAGGGTCTCCCCCGCTGTCACCCCGTTCGAACCCGCTGTCGTTTTGGGACCTCTCTTCGGCGGTTCGTTCGGTCGGCTGGTTCCTTCCAGTCGATCCCGGAGAGAAGTGGGCTGGGTCCAGCCAGAACACCCAGATGGTCGGATGCTGGAAGGAACCAAACGATGTCAGATGACAGGCCGTGTGCCACGCGAGATGAGCGGATGAATCACTATAATTCCAATTATATTCCATTTATTTCCATTTTATATGCTAAGGAATTCTGGTTTCTAATAGCTTCTGGTTCCCAGTAGTGCAGCCAGGAGCCCCGTTCGTAGCGTCCTTGCCCCTACCAACCGCAAAGCACTCTGTTCATGTGAGCGGCTGTGAGCTGCAACCGGGTGCCCGCTCCACCCACCGGTGCCCGCTCCACCAACCGGTGATTCGAACTCGGCTCAGGCAACATGCACCACGACATCCGCATGCTGAGTTGCTCGGACCCGGATTCCGGATCGACTCGGACCCTTCGTGCCTATAGCCCAGCCCATCAGCCGCCAACGTGCCAACCTACCACTGAGTCGGGCCGGGAAGCAACAACCAAAGAGTCCGTCGGGTTTTTCCGGTGTGGTGAGCCCTTTGTATGTCCACTGCGGTGCCCAGCGTCGTCGGCGAGAGAAAGACAGAGGCACCGGAGCGACGCTCCGTGGGTTGTCCCGAGCGGTCGTCGTGGTGGGGGCCGGTTCCGGATGGAACAACACTCACCTTCACATCCAATGTTCATCTCCCACCTCTCTGAAGCTCTCCCACCTCTCTGAAGCGATTGATGATGACTAGCGTGCGATCCGACCAGTTTGTTTGTTGTTGCTAGGTAGTTGCATGTTGTTCTGACTAATCCATTCTATCTCCTGTTGATGTTTCCTGTCATCCACTTCTATGACACCAAGAGCTTCCGAGAACCCCCATGACTCGCCGCTGTGTGGCGTTGCTCGACATTGGCACCATCCTCCGAACTTCATCCATCGAGGACTGGGCGCGGATCCATCGTGCCAGAAACTGAGGCATGACGGTGGAGAAGATGGCGGCGAAGATGAAGTTAATGTTCCACTGAGGGGTCCACATCGGGCGTCCACGCCGGAGATAAGACAGACCGAAAGAGATGAATGAAAGACACAGATATTAGGGTACAAGGCACAAGGGTCCCAATTGTTTATGATTTCAGGACCCCTGTACAGTGAACCCAACCGAAAAGGTCGCTCCAAAGGGATGAACTCCGACTTGGGGCTCCGTGCATCAGGTCCCCTTCCAGAAGATCTAGGCGTAAGACGGGGACCCGTTTGACTAGCGTCTTGGGATTGCGATCTGTTGGGATCCAACAAGCCCATTCGCCAAGGCGCACGACTGTCAGGTCTGCGAATCCCTGGCCGGTCGAGGTCTGCGAGTCCACCGTCGCGTGGAGAAATGGATCCTGGATCACCCCCCCTGGGATGAATGTGCCTGTTTTTGGGGTCAAACATGGCCGGGGGAAGCTGCAGCAGGAGAGTTCTATTTTTTTTCGGATTCATGTCCGGTTTCATGTGAAATACCATTCAAAACGTAACTTTCTCAAGTGTGGAGGATGATTTCCCTGCGCAGGTGGCATGCGTTTCTTGAGGTCAGGACGTTCACACGGGCAGGTGTGGCCTGGAGGTGGAGGTTGCTGTGCCAGATGTGCGTTTCAGGGTGTTGTCTGGAAGCTGTGTTTTCGTGACAACTCTCAGCTAATTGCGATTTTGTTGGAGGTGAGTGTGCGCAGAAAGTCTTCGAACAATCAAATCATTCCGAACGTGCGGTGTGGTGCAAATTTTGCTGAAGGCATGAAGATGTCACGTTGTCGCTTGTCGTGGCAGGCGCAGTGCTTCGTGCGTGTTGGAATTGTGGAAGTTGAAATTTTGTGGCAGGTGCGGGGAATTGTGAGGTTGCGACGATTGGTGGGGGTGAAAGTCGCTGTGCCATGGGGATTGGCGTGTCAGCTGTGTTTTTAAGGGCTGGGATTGCGAAACTGCCTGGCAGGGCTGCTTCCTATGTTCGCTTTGGTGAGACTTCCCCCGCTTCACTTTGGGAGGAATTCTCGTGCCCAACGCTCGTTTTGGAGACTTTGGAGCAAGTCTCATACGAAACGCTCGTTTGGGCACGAAACCCTCGTTTTGGAGATCTATTTTTGAACGAATTCTGGTACAAAACCTTTGGTTTGAAGACTGGACGGCGCTTGACTTTTGGAGGAGGTATCGAACGAAATTTGAGCTTCGGTGAGAAGTGGCAAATAGTGGCAACTTTCGGCGAGAAGTGGCAACTTCTTTCACTCCAGATTGTCAATCTTTGGAAAATGCCACGCGAGAGTGTTCAACATACATGCGTTCCCTCGAGTTCGTGGGTTCTGTCAGTTGTTTGTTTGAAGGATCCAGCAGGACCACCCAAGTTGACTGGAAGATCTCAAGTTCTTGGGGAGGGTGACCGCTAGTGAAGATCGCCGTGTCGATTCACGGCGCCGTGTTCCATGGTTCGGCGAGTCAAAACGGCGCCGTGAGGGCCATGGCGGTGAGGGGCCCAACGGGTTTTGGAGAGTGACATGTGAATTGTTTTTGTGTTTCATTGATTGGAAGGCGTTGTGCGATGTTGTGCGCAGATAGTTGCATCCAGATGTAGGTTCACTGTGCACCGGATTCACACCTAGTAACTACTGACCTGGCGGCTGGCCCCTCACATGCTGTGTGGTGCTGAATGTGCTTGCTCTGCCACACTGGCAGGGGAAAATGTCTGGGGCGGCTGATGTGTAGGAGACCTAGGATGGATTGCAGATGGACTTGTTTCGGTTCTTCGATCGAAGCACTCCTGGAGCTGTTAGGGAGTTGTGCAACATTTCCATCCTCAAAACCTGCTAGGCTCCAATAAGGAGAGGCCCCTACCAAACCTGGCCACAAAGACCACACCTCCTGGGAGTTCCGCGCACTGCTTCGCAGTCCCCGAAGGGGACTGGGAACACCAGCGCCCTGCCCGAATCACACACGGCCCCCGCCGAAGGTGCGGGGGCCCGCGGTCGCCCGTGGCAGCTTGGGCGGCTCCCCAGTAAGGACGAGACAGGATGAAGATACATGTCGACTCTTGACACCCCCCAACACGAAGGGGTTGGTTCGTTGGTTTCTCTACCAAAAGGGGGTGGGTTTAATGAATCAACCGTGTACCTCTTTCTCATGGTGATCCGATGACATTCCCCAAAGACCTGGGATCCAAGACCTGAGTGTTTATCAATCCCGGTGGGACTAGCGATGCCCAGCGCTGGTGGTGGAAGAAGAGCGGTGCTCGACAGAGGGTGCGATTGCTTCTGTCCGATTGTGTGTCTTTAACTATATATAACTAGTGTTCCTGGTGCACACACACACATAAATACACACATACATACATACATACAGACAGACAGACCGACCGACAGACAGACAGACATACATATACATATATATATATATATATTATATATATATACACATAATAAGATTAACATATTTCACGCGTCGAAACTAGACGCGCATCAGGAGTGCCTTGTTTGGTGTTTGTTGCTCAACCCACATGTGTTGTACGTACTTCCCTGCTTAAGGCGTCCAGTCCTTACGTGCTTTTAGTGTTGAGGGCCACCTCATACTGTCCAAAAAACCATGGGCTGCAGAAGGAGAAAAACATGGCCGAGCTTCTCTGAGTTTCCATCGTCTTCCATGGCGTTCGGCTTTTGGCATTGGGGAGAGCCAGCGTCCATTTGGTTGTCGCCGCTTGCGTAAGAAATAAGATCTACTCGCCCAAATCCGCCTGGTCCTTAAAAGATCTTAAGAACGGCACCAGTGACCAGAAGACACCCAAGAAGGCGATGCTGGAACGGGTCAATGCAGGGAGCACTGATTTCTTTTGATGACGCGCATTGAGTCATAGAGTTGGCTGAGAGTAAAACCCTGAACTTTTGTTGGTGAGTGAGAGTGGAGAGGTCAGCAACTACTATCCCTGTACCATCTCTGACATTGAACTCCTTCCAAAAACAACATTGACTACATCCTCAGGCTCGCATGGGCCCCAGATTTCTTCCTTCCCATATCCCCCCGAAGGGTGCCAGACTGTGGCTAGCTGGAGCACATGGAGCAGTCCTCGACCGGTTCGACCCCGGTCAGACCGACCGAGGCTGGACCGCCTCGCGGCCGCTTCCACGCACGGACCGCGCGCGGACCGCACCGCGGCGGCCGCTTCGGTGCTGGAAGCGTGGCTCGGCTGCCCCGGTGGAGGAGGGGCGGTGGATGGGTTGCAACGTGTGCGGTGAGGTGCCAGCGGATCGCGTTTCGGGGAAGATCAGATCGCCCAGTCACTGCGTGACGTGGACTATCTACTCTTTCTGGGCGGTCCAGGAGTTCGACATCGTTCAGGAGTCGTTGCCAAAGATCGTCGGAGCTGCGTTCGAGAGAGAGAGAGAGAGAGAGAGGGGGGGGCCATATGACGCCATATGTTTGTTGCCCATGTCATGTGTGTGTGCTCTCATATTTTCCTGTGCCTGTTTGGGCTCTCTTACCGACATATATCTTAATGCTTTGGAGTTTGGAGGTTGGATGAGCAACCACTTGGTATGAAAAGAATTACCGCCCCTCACCAATGGCATGGTGTGTGGGTGACAACACGCTTTTGATCCCCCCTTAATTGACACACACAATTGATTAATATTGATTCCAATGGATTGTCTCTGATGGATTGCCAGGCATTGCGATGTTTGGTTCTCCAGTTGTGCCATATCATGAAGCACAACTCGTCACCTCTTTTGCATCCCATTCAGCCCGTGCCATGCCAAACAGGCTGTCGCAGCTGGAGGAAGCGGGAGCGGCGACGAAGAACGGAGGGAGCCCATCCGAGGTTGGACAGCCAATGGGCCGAGCCCATCCCATATTGGGGCCCACCATCAGGTCTCAAAAAACCTCTTTAAAGCGGTGGGAGTGGAAACCCCGGATGGGAGCAAGTTACGAAGCAGCCTTTCGGTCTCAAAAGACCTCCAGTTCCATCGTCGGAACTGCGGAACTGTGGAACCACCATGAGGCCACTGGGGTGTTGAAGGCTTTCGGGGCGAAACTGGTGGACATGGTGAGAGGCATCTCGACCAACGTAGCGGCAGCCAACATCACACTGGAGTACATGATGTTCTTGATCTGCAACATGATGCAACACCAACGCAACTGTTATCGGGTAATATGGCATCTGGGTTCCCAAGAGTTGATTGGGCCTCTTGGAAGTTCCAGGCCAAACTGGGCCCATTCATTCGGCCATCCTGGGGAGGATTCCACCGCCCGTTTTTGAGGGCCGGCCGGCGGACGGTGGTCATTTGGATCAGGGAGATGAGGCGATTGAAGCCTTGCTAATTCCCAACTATGTCCTCAAGGCTCCCTCGTTTTTTTTTCTCCTCGGAGGGCTGGAATGCGCCACTCATCTCAGTGGCGCAGGATTGGAGGTTGGGCCTCGAGTATGCTGACCAGCTGAAGGCAGAGCGGGTGAAGCTCATGGGGAGCACAACGGGAGTTACAGAAGGCTTTAGTTACAGTAGTGGCATCATGCATGGGCGGTGAATAACCACCTGCCATTATCCTGCCAAAAAGATGCAAACGCAATACTCTTGGACATTGGAACTTAGCCCCTCGCAATTCAAGCTCGTGTGACAAACACCCACAGACAACCCGTAACAAGATCCCAATATCGATACGGTCCAAGAACCATGCCTGGCCAGCTTTGGAGCCTCGCCACCTTTTGCACCTCCATGGACTCCACACTGGATGGTCCCGGCCATCCACACCATCCTGGTGCTTCGGCCATCCACGCTGGCGCAATAAGGCTTGGAGGAGGTCTCCCAGAGTCGGACCCGACAGGAGCCCTACAGGAGGAAACTCTTCAGCCTCCCAGCCTCCCCCAGAGTTCATGCGCCCAATCGGGGGGACCATCGACAAGCTCTTGTGCTCTTGTGGGACCGGCCATCACTGGCTGCAGACCAATTGCAGGCACCAACACAGATTGAAGAACTTGGTAGACTATCATCCCATAGGTACCCCAGGTTGAGACGACTCCGGGACGAGTCATGCCCGCCAGAGCGAGAGACAGAGAGAGAAAAAGAGAGAGAGAGATAGACAGGTACCCCAGGTAATTCGGGTCCTTGTTCAGGTCACTTATATAACATCGTCTTTGGTATTTCATGGAGTGGACCCCCACGCGGGAGATGCACCCCCCTCCCTCCCACGGCCGCAGCCGATGTGGGGCCCCAGGGTGTGAAAAAGCTCGTCATCCAAGACATGAACATATCTGAACAAGTGGATTTTTAGCTCATCCAGCCAGTGACCAGTGGTCCTTTTTGTCCGCCTAAGGGGACGGGAACCGTCAAACTCCTCTCCTATCCCGCACGCATTCCTTCTTTGGAAACGGTTTGGAGGCCGTCCTTTTCCTCAGTCCCCGGACGTGCGCGCCGCGGTCGCCTCGTCAGCCAGGACTTCGGCCTCCTCAGCGCGCGGGACCTCGGGACGGAGCGCCAAAGGGGTTCGCGGCCGCCGTGCTCCGCGTTCGGAGCCGCTTTGGGGTTCAAGGACGGTGAGGGAGAAGTGTCTCGTTGTTTGAGGCTATGAGATTGAGCTTCCATGTGACGGGTTCCTAGTAAAGCGATCAGTACATGATGTGTAATATGCAAGATAGTGTACAAAGAACTTAATAGATACTACATATACACTCCGGGCCACCCATGTGACGTGTTGACCGAGTCTCTTTGTTTTCGTTGACCGAGTGTGTGCGGATCGCGTCACCAGGACGACCAGCTGTCTGGCCATGTCAGAGCCATCTCCACCCTGCCATCTTCACATCCCGAAAAGACTGTGATGCTAGTCATGGAAGGACCATGGAAGACATCCCGTGTGGCGCCAAAGGCCAAGGGCCTGGGCTTCCTGCTGGCGCGTGCGGAGGCGCGGGCAGTACCATGGGTCTTTGCATGCAATGGAACGGTGGATAGTGGAGAATCCAATTTATATTTGTCCTGAATGGCCCTGAAAGAAAGAACACACACCAAGAACATCCCACGATCCAAGCAGCACCAATTCGTACGTTGGATTCAACACTGTATTTGCTTCCCCGACGCCCCGACGCTTCGCTTGAGGGCTCCGAAGAAGATCTTGCACTGCTGCTTGGACGGAGATGTGGTTGCAACTGCACTGCAGCATCACCTTGACAGACTTTTCATGTCGGGGTTGATCTATAGTGGCTTCAGAATAGATGGCGCAATCCGCAAAAAGGTGGTTTATGTGGATCCGCCATTTGTTTTAGACATCTTCAGGTGCCAGTTACTCTGACGCCACTGCACCAGACTAGCTGGGTGAACTGGAAAACGCGACCTTGCAGCTGGGTGGATCGTTTTGTTGTTCTTGAAGCTGGACGATCAGGAGGGTGGGGTAACCATGGGGCAAGGCTTGCCAAAAAGAAATATATACATATATAATTAACTTGGCGGGATCAATGGGGCCAAGAAACCAATCCTTGACTTTGAAGAAACCAATCCTTTGGTGCGCCTAGGGGTATGATCCCCATGGGTTGCTCTACTGCCATGTTGCGGTTGGGAGTTAGCCAAACAGGACAGCCGTGGTAGGATGATGCATGATTTCAGCATTTCCAATTCTTAAAAGTCCGAGCTTAGAGCCGAAGCGAGAAGTTGAGATCTTCTAGGCCTGAGGAAGATGCACTCAAGATGCCCTGGCCAATTCCAATACCATTCTTGGATCCAGTTTGTTCAGTCTAAACTCTCATGCCAGACCGAGATCGGCCCGCGAGAGATTGAGGGCGAATCTCCCCCGGTGTGGGTTTCGCATGCTGGGGATCCGGCTGTTCTGAAGACCTTCTTGGGAGTGATGTGAGTGGGCATTTTGTTGAGATACCCATTGGTTGGTGCTCGAGGGAGGTGCGAAGATGCAGATGTCCGCAAGTCGGTGCCACCTTCCCAAAGCGGGTCGACGGGTCTATTTTCCTTCTTCCAGGCGGTCTTTGCGAGGTCTCCCTATTATAATGCTGGCTGGGCGTTTTTTGGTTTTAATATGTTTTACACACCCATATGTGATTTTTCTGGTCGTGTGTTCACCCTACCTCACAGACCCATATAGGAGTTACATACGAATCGCGATTTTCGCCCAGACCTGGCCGCCGGTCCACCATCGGCTGGGCCGTTCGCTGCTTGAGGCCCGTCCCGTCCATGTAGGGAACGACCTTCCAGGCCGGTCAACCTTCGGGTTTGACGTCCAGATTGCCCTGGGTTTCCAAAAGGCCAAAGGGGCTGGCTTCATCCGGGCGCCGGACGCTCCTCGGCGGTTCCGAGGGATTTGCTTTGGCGCTTGGCTCGGCCACTGGGCCCTGCGGCCGTCAGCGCATGTGCGCAGCACGCGGCGGTGCAGGGTGAGGCGGGGGGTCCATGTGCCAACTGAACCCCACAGCACATTTGACCACAATACAAGTGGTCTTGGGTTTGCAATCATGGATCATCATCATGGCTAAGAATCTCACCTTGTTGGATTTCGGAGTGCTGGCACCATGTGAGTCAGCGAGCACGATTCCGGCCCCACCTGTACAAGACTTGGCCAACACTTACTACACTCCCTGAAATTATCACGGAAGTGGAAATGGCCCCTTGGATGACCATCTTTCTCTACAAACAGGTGGTTTTCACTTTTCACTCCACTTCCGCGAGGATTTTGGGGGAGTGTATCTCATTTGACAGGAGCCGAAATGTGATCCTGGAGGCGCTACCCGCACTAGTAGAGTATAGACCCACCTATTTTATCTTCTTTTGATCCAAACGACAGCTAGTAAGCTACCTGAAGCTACCTTCCACCTGTACACGGTCTCCAAACTCCCCTTGTCGCTAAGGCACGGTCTCCTTACAGACCCGCAGTCCGTTCCAGGCCGCCAAAGCCGCAGACCTGGTGGCACCCTTGGCTTCAAGGCAGCCACGAGGCACGGGAGCTGCTGCGCGCGCGTTTCATCGCAACAACGCCGCGTGAACGCGATGCGAACGGTGATGACGTGGGGAGGTTTTTGGATGTCTACTATTGGATGGTCCTTTTTTTTTTGGGAGGGATGAGAGCAAGAAGACAAAGCCTGACAAAGCCTCGATTGCTTGACTTATGCCTTATGCTGGAAGCATCTTGAAACACTTCCTGATGGAGCCCCCGAGGAAACCACGGTCTCACACTAGAGCGGCAAGTTGTCAACCCATTTGACCCACCTGTCAGTTTTGGCCCATAGCGCCATAGGGGCCGGTGGAAGCTGCAGCTAGGACATGCGTGGACTCTCCAGAAGAAGCCCCTGATCCGTCAGAACTGGACTTCACTGATCTTCACTGCCTAGTCTGATCCACCCAGCGGCTAGAGGAAGAAGAAGTCTACCAAGACAACCCTGCTGGCGCCAGCCGTTTTTGGTTGCTTCTTTTGAACTTCGGTTCCCCTGCCGAGGCCTGGCGCGAAGGATTTGGGTCGCCTGCGGCGGCACGGTGTTTCACCCCAACCCAGCTTTGGGAGAGAAAGGCGTGCAAGTGGCGTTGATGGAAGACCGCTCCTGCCACAAAGATCACCTCCATTTTTGGTCGCTCGCCCGATCCTGAACCCTTCTTCACCATGCGGCTCATCATGGCTTGCTCCACGTTAGACAGACTGCGTCAGCGACCGGCCCCCATCGGGCAGTGGAAACCCTCGCCGTGGCCGCATCGATGGGGGTGGCTGACTTGGTGGAATGCTGTCGTGGCACTGGGCGTCGCATGAAGCCATGAAGGCCTGCTGGTTGAGGCTTGAGGCTCATAGACTCATAGATCATGTTTGCCGCATTGCCCATGTGTTATGAGGATGCAACCACACATGATCGGAGGGCGGGAGAGAGAGAGAGAGAGAGAATATTGGACGGAGCCTTTTCTTTCGCGACTTGCAGAATTGCAGGTGAGTCAGCATCTTTATCACGAAGCACGGGGGATGTCACTGTCATTTGATTGAAGCCCATCGGCTCGAGTGAACGGTTTGAGCTCCACGATGCTTGCGCAGCTGCCAAGTGAGCCCTTTTGCAACACACTTGGGGACGGAACGGCTATAATTGTGTGAACCTTGAATACTGGCCCAGTCATGTTCACTTCCCTTCAGCTTGGAACAAACACCGGTAATTATGGGCCCCACGTGCGTGTTCTACCTCGCCAGAAGCAGGTGGACGCCCAGTATATAGATTGTCCCAGGCTCTGGTAGCCTCGCCATGGCGAGTGGAGGCCTGCAGATCTGATTGGGGGGATGGCTCTTGTTTGCTTGCTACAGTCCAGAGCTAGACAACAATAGGTTTCCATCGATAGAACCGCTGTTCCAATCGACTGGAAAAAGCGCTTCCTCTCCACCTGCGGGCTTTTGCAGGAATAGATTTCTCTTTATATTTCTTCCCACTTGGTACTCCTTTTTGATCCACTTCGGAAGCCACTGGCGAGCTGCTGGCGAACTCGTGCTGCGCTTTTTTTTTTTCTCGGATGTCCTGTCACCACATGATCAGGCTGGGGTCCTGGTGGTGGTGGTGTGTTGTTTCATTGTTTACTCTTCACGGAGAAGATGAGCAGAACAGGATAGCAAAAAAGTCCCAAGCTTGAACTAGAGAATCTGCACTGTGCACTATCAGATGCGCTCGTGAAAGGCATCCTCCCGAACTCTGCTACAGCCCCCGCCCTTGGCAGGCTATGGTGCTGTGAGTAGCGCCTCGGAAAAAGGCTTGGAGACACGTTCAGGTGGCCATTCATCCAACCTTTACAGTAGTGAGGAACTGCTAGTGGATGAGGGCCTTTGGCCCTCGGGCCCCCCCGAAACTGGGCCGCTTGAAGCCTTGGGCCTCCCCTTCTGGGGCTAAGGATTTCAAGCTCTTGGCTTTCTGCAAGGGAGCCCAGCCAAGCTGTAAAGGCTTTCGAAGTGGTTCCATCATGTTCCGGTGTGACCTTGTGATGGTTGAAGAACTTCCCCCCCATGGAATGCGTTCACGTCCTCAAGACATGCCCCTCACCAGGCTCGTGCCCGGACGCCGCCGTGAGACGAAGTGCCCTGAGACGAACGCTCGGACCCTCTGAGGCCCTGTGATGGCCGGCTGTGTGGGGGGGCCCAGAGGCTCCAAATGGGGCGGAGCTCGGAGCCTCGCCATTGGGATTCCAACCCACTCACATGCAGTGGAGAAGAAGACCTGACCGAATCGCCCAATGGACGACTCAAATCACCTTTCACATCTTTTCACCAATTTCTTAAAATCAATTCCCTTTTGCTCATTCGCACTCATGAGCCGTCACTTGACTCTTCACCACATTACCCTGCATGCGATCCCAGCATCTTGCACTCTTCCAGCACGGTGTCCCGTCCCCTGCTTCTGGAAGCCGCCGCCCTCGCCGCGCTGGTCGACCAGGCGCCGGCCATGCCGGCCAACTCGCCGCCGCGGCGCGAACGCTCCACGTCGCGACCGCTCGCCACAGGTCTACCTGGTGGGGGCTGGTCCCGGTTCGGTGGACTTGCTCACTCTGCGGGCCTTGGAGGCACGGACTCTGTGGAAAACGCGCCTCAGAACGTTTGCGGTGGTCGAAACGGGGTGCCGGCGTTTTTTGGGGGGCTGTGCTGCTCTTAGCAAAGGCGACCCCTAATTATGATTTATCATTAATAGTCTTTTTGCGTCCTATATAATATACTTTGTGGGTGTATCTTTTGCCTAGCGGCCTAGCGGGTGGGTAACGGCAGCCCCGTACCTGTGTCCCTTTTTCTTCCAACAGCCGCAGCACTTACCGCGAGGGACTTAGGGAATTCCTCCAGTCTCGGACGTCCCCCAAGTCCTATTGAAGGGTCACTTTCAAGCTGGAAGGTCCGACTGGGCTCTTGGACATACCCTCCAGGTCACTAGGTTCATAGGGTTCACGCGGCTTCGACGGGACGAGCGCCGCCTGCACCACTGGTTCCATCGGATCGCCTGGAAGTCGGATCGCCATGGTAAGACCCACGCGGCCTCGGAAGGAAGACTCTTTTCCACTATAAGCATGGCAAAGCCAATCTTTCCAGAGCCCCCCTGGCCCCATGGGAAAGGAATTCAGCATGCTAAGACCACGTGGCACTAGGGGCAAGGGGATGCAAGGGGTCTCTACTTCAGTCAGAATTGCTCCAAAGTCCATCCTTTTTTTCGATCGATTGGAGCTCCCAGCCAGGAAATAGGATGAAATAGGACCTTCCAAAAGATCCATGCAATTATATAATTATATACCTCTTTTTTCAGGGGGTCCCTTCCTGTTCTCTTCCCGTTCTGTTCTGGATCGCTCACCACGTGCCAACCCCTCGTGCGTTTTTCACACGTGCACCCGGTTCTGCGGTCAGACCGCCGCCGCAGACCGCCCGAACCGCGCCCCTGCCCCCCTGCCCCCCCTACGGGGTGGTCGCTTCGGTTTCTCCTCACTTCCAAAGAGGTGAGAGATGTAAGTGACTTGGAAAAAAGGATCCGAATGACCTGGGGTGCCCAACTGGGATAGACATATGTACCAGGAGTCACGTTCGTACGGGGTGGTGTGACTCGTCCCATCCAGTGAGTGGATAAGAGGCACCCCCAACCTCCATTAAGCACCCCTTTGTGACTGCTGGTGTATAGGGTTCTTCAACCTCTCTCTGGTTTTTTTCTCGCTTTTTGTCCTCCAACCGCTTGCCACGTAGGTCTTGCGTTCCTGCGACGTGGTCCTCCATGACCGGCTGGTGCCTCCGGAGGCGAAGTACCGAAGTCGCGAAGTACCGACGTCGCGGGACCCGGGCCGCGAGACACGCCCGGAGCGCGATGAACATGGACCTTTTGGAAAGACAGAATAAGACGAAAGCAGATGAAAGAGGACGAACATCTACGAATCTTTAGACCGGATGAAACTGAGCCTCACTGAGCCTCTTTTTGGAGGACCGTGGTGCAGCCGTCTGAAGACTTGAGCACGCCTGTGGTAGGTCACAAGACTGTGTCAAGAAGGGTGCAGACAGGGTGACCTGATTCAACCCGAAGTTTCACATTGTGATCCTTCTCATCCAAGAAACGGATGGGCACTCACAGAGCAGGGTGTAGAAGAAGATCCGAGGCATCTTCCCGGTCCACACTGTCGAGCTTCGATGACTTCCACCGAACGCGTCGGGACCCCTTCGACTGGGCCCTGCAGGGTCCAGGCGCGAAGCGCTCGCACCCTGAGAAGTCTCGTGGGGCTTGAGTGCGACCCCAACTCTCCCCGGTCAGAATCAAGGACCCTCAAAGACATAAAGACCAAGGTCTTGAGGGTTCAAACCCCTGCAGAGAGCAGGGTCAACACCCTCCACAGGGTCTAAATGAATGGCTCGGGCAGGGTTTTTCTCTGGTTTCTTTCGTTCTCGCTCCGCTCCGGCGGAAGACCGCTCGACTTCGCCTCCCGCTTTCCTCGGCTTGACCTGCTGCTTGAGCGCAGCCGATCGGCTAAAGCTGCTGATCCGTCCATGCATCTGATACTAGTACAAGGTTTCTTCCAGTCTCTCTTTGGCCACGAAGAGTGAGCTTCGCTGGAGGGCCTGAGCCGCTGGGCCGCATCGTTTTGAAGGAATGCAGCCGGTCGGGTCGGTGCCTTTCTTCTTGGTTGGGTGGAGGCCTGCGCGGCCTGGGCGGCCTGGGGCACCCAAAAAGGCTAGAATGCTAAAGGTGACGCGGTATGACAAATGCCGCCCACCCAAAAAGGCTCCCAACGGGTACCGCAGGCAGTTCCAACAGGTGACCTTTTTGGAGAAGAGGCCACGGCCCAGGCCGCCTCTGTTTTGAGAGGCATGATGGATGGAAAGAGGCAGAGGAAGGTGAACCGTGAACCGATATTCCGGGCGTCTCAAGGACAATCGCCTTGAGCTCCAGGCACGGAGGATCGCAGTCATCGACTGTTTCAACATGGCACGTGGACACCGAAGGACACCGAAGGACACCGAAGGACACCGAAGGTCGTAGGTCGCTCTGGAGATCTCATGCTCACCACCTAGGATTCCGGTCCAATAGCGCTCAATTTTGGAGGAACATGGTTGAAACTTGAAACATGTTGTTCTCATAGCAGTTGTTTGCTTCCCTGGTGAAGGATGTGCTGGCAAACACAGTTCCTCAGAGTGTCTCAGGCCAGGGCCGGATTCTCATCCTCACCTATACAATATAAGTCGACGGTTGATGAATACAACCCCATTTGGATGGTCAAACTAGGTAAAACCTCTTCGTCTGGGGGGGGTGGAAATATCATCAAGAGTCATCAAGAGTCTACATTACGGTGGGTCCTTGCCGGGTTTGTGGCTCTCACCGAGGACATCCATTTTCCGTCGACATGTTGTTTGTCAGGCGAGCAGATCGGGACACGGGACGGTCGGGACGCGGGGGTCACCACGGGTGGTTCGGCGCGGTGGTTCGGTCGCGCAGCGTCCTCCATCCATGTCCCCCTTCATCGCGGCAGCGGTCGCGCCCCTGGATGATTTCAGGAAGCCATGATGTTGACTGTTCATGATAGATCAACTCCCCCCATGACCTGTTTTAAACCTCCAGTCCTGGCGGGTGATATCAATATCAATCAACGCCGTAGATGTCCACGGTCGACGATTTTTGACACCACCGAAGGTTTGAACCAATTCCCGGACGTCGGGTAAAGGACGAAAGTACACATGTTCACATTGTTTCTATCTTTCGATGTTAGCCGTCGTTGCCCTTATGGTTCCAGCTCATGTACACCATAGACCGAATCAAGGCTACCAGGGCCCCCATCGGTGTCGGTGTCCAACTATGACCCCTTCACGGGTTGGTGTCCATGAACCACCGGGGTCTTGGTACTGCATCCCCGTCCAGCTCGCCGTCCTCTTCACATTGGGGGGTAGTAGAAATGGGGTCAATGAAGGCATAGACCCTGGGAGCCCAAGGATTTAAGAAAATGGTCTTGACTGACTTGGTGATCTGAAAGGGCATTTCCTTGGGTGGTGCCAGAAATGGTCTGACTTCTAGGCCTTAGATGGAGGGTCTGGAGTCCGTGTAGGTAGAGATCCCCCCATCATCTAACACACCCTCTACTCCCAGTGAGGGGGGGTCTCCCAGTTTGATGGAGACAAAACGCATGTCCTTCATATTTCTCAATGAACATGGACGACATTTGGTATGCCCGCCGCCTCCGCCACGGACGGGAATACCATCGCAGCAAAAAAGGATCGGATGACGCCTTCCGTGACCTTGGAGGACGCTCGCCCCTCCGGAAGCACCTCCGAGGAAGCACCTCCTACTGGAAGTCTGTCAGCCGACCATTTTTCAAGAGGGAACGACGAACAAGCTGGCTTTGTAGCGTAAAATCCTTATAAGACATGAGTAAAACAAGGGTTCTTTGGCAGCCATTCAAAAACCATGGTGGTTCGACTCCAGTGGTGCTCCAGTGGTGCAACCCCCTCCTCGGCTTCGCGCCGTGAAGACCCCGTTCCCGTCCAGAACTTTCCAGAGCCGCCCGGAAAGGCGGCTGAGAGAGACTCGCCTGCAGGCTCCCTTGGGCGCTTTGCGCAGTTCTCCCCACAGATGTTTTGCCTCTGCCTTTGCACGTGGCGTGGCCCAATGGGGTCGGGGAGAGGGTTGTGGGGGGAATCGATGACGCCGAGTTCGGCGGCCCAGATGGGAGGCAGGGTCCCCCTTGGAAGACCGTGGAGGTCCCAAGAGAGATATACGCGACGTCAATTCAATATAGTTATACCGTTATACCACATGATGTCAATTTAAGAAAAGACACTTTTTTGGGTGTGTGTGTGTGAGTGTGTGTGTGTGTTAACACCTGTTTCCAAGGTTTGTACCTGGTAAGTCCGCCGTAGATTCCACTAGAAGGCTGGACGCTACTAGTAGCTTCTGGCTTTGCTACTAGGAACCAAACTAAAACTAAAACAGCGCGAGTCCAAAAAGAGGCAGGGTGATGCCGGGGATTTCCATGGTCGGCATCCAACGAAGACACCATGGATTTCCTGTGACATGAGTCAGGGACGCCTGACTCACGTACCTGCTAATTTTTACGTTCAAGGCAGCGTTCAGCAGTAGGCAATCCAGGAAAACAAAACTTGTTAAACATCTTCAACTCGGCGGACCTCTCCACCTTTCCGTTCGGCATTTTGCAGTTACATCAAGTCAAGTGCAAGTGAGTGTAAAGTGGGACTTCATTCTGATCCTAGCTCTTGCGAGCAACCATCTAAGTGTGTATCGCCACAGAGTCCCACTGAGGGCTGTGGTGTGATCCCCGCCGAGGGGCGCTGCATGTGCATAGACCCAGATCCTGGGGGACCCACCCTGAATGCTTTGTTTGCAGTCCTGGACTTCTTTTGATCTCCCCTGATCCGCCGTGCTGCATGATACCACTGATCGTATGCCGCAGGGCTCACTTGAGATTTCCGATCCAGTCAGGACTTGCACTTTTTTGACATTTGTCTAGGTATTCACCTGTGCAGTTTCCATGGCTAGGTAACCGCAGGCTGCTTTTCAGTTGCATGTGCTTTTCATGCTCTTGGGTTCTTTCTCTCTTTCTGTTGCTTTTCGTTTCTTGAGGCCTTTCTTTAGGCTTCAGGTGCCTTTCAGACAAGGGTGCGCCGGCCCAAATCGGCTTTACTTGAATGCCAAAGATGGCAATGCCTTCGGGCTACCCTATCCCACCCCCCCTACCTCCCTGCCCCTGGCCTCTGTTGCTATCCCACCCGCTATTTAGGGTAACAGAAGGAAATCGCACTCAACACACTTGTGTGTTGGTGCCTTTCCTTCTGTTTCTCCTGTCGTACTCCTAGCTAACCGGGCGGTTTAAGACAAAAGTCCCGCTCGCTAGCTACTTTCATTTAACTAAGTGGGCCTCGTCACTATACCTATCTTTCTTTCTTGCCCTCTTCGTGTGCTTTTGTTATCTTTTGTTTTGTTTTCTTTGTCTGTCTTTCTAAGGCTTTTTAGGTGACTAGTAATCCTCCGGAGCGCCAATATCGGCGCTATGTGTACAAAGCTGTTGCACGAAAAAACGTTTCACGCAACAGTTGCAGAGCGCCGATTGCGGCACAGTGTGTGTGTGCGCCACACTCTGTTTCCAAGAGTTTTTTATACGCAGGGGGCCAGAGCCAGGTGGGGGGGCCTCCGGCCAACGAAGACACCCCCACCTGGATACAAACGTACCTGCGATCAACTGTTGTCCAAGCTGTTCTACTCTCTTTTTTGCTTTCATGGTGGTTTTCATGATACGTCCCCCAAACCAGGTTTCCATGCACGGCGTTAATTCGGTCTGCTAAGTAATCAGTAACTAATTTTCTGTCATGCATCACGAGAAACACTTTTTTCAAACACCTTCAAGTGATCGGACGCTTCACCTTGCCGTTGAGCCATTCCTTTTCTCAGGGAATTGAGTTAACCGAAAACCCAATGTCAAAGTGTGTGCCGCTCTGCCGTCCCACTTGGGTGCAGGGTGTGATCCCCGCCACTGGGGCGCTGTTTTCATGCCGGAGTATCACTAACGGATTTTGCTGCTTTCCGCACACGTTGGATTATCTTAGCCGACTTCGTTTCACCACTGTATTCCCAAAATCCAAGCCGCCGGGCACCACGGTTTTTACGACCGCCGGGTATACGGAATGTCAAAGCCGCCGGGCATACGGAGAATGACCCCACACAACCCCCCCCCCCGCCGAGTTCTCTACTCCCCACCTAATGAGGGTAACAGAGGGAAATGGTACTCGACACACTTGTGTGTCGGTGCCTTTCCCTCTGTTGTCCCTGCTCCAGTCTACTCTACCCGGGCGGTTTAAGACTAAAGTCCCCTCCCTAACTATTGCGCCTAATTAGTTTCTGCTAAGTAATCGGTAACTCTAGGAGTGTTATAAGTATTCAGACACACACATGTACACACACATGGGCATACACCCCCTCCCTGCCCCCTGCTTTCTTACTTGCGTTTTTCGTCGTTTCTTGGGCTTTCTTTCAGGCTTTTTAGGTGGTTCTTGAGGCTCGTTTCCCTGCCCCAGTCAAGAGCTAAGTATTCACCTTTTGCTACACCGATCTTTCTCTCCTGCCCTTTTAGCGCTGCTCTTTCTGTCTTTCTGTCTTTCTTTTCTAATCATGGGCACCTAGACTCCCTCCCCCCCCCCCTCCCTCCCCCCTGGCTCAAAATGATACGCTTCAAAAACACGTGTTTGGAAAATAAGACCTAAACAGGTCTATTCCACAACCTTGCAAAATAGACACCAACTAACATAGACTGATCTTCTGAGTTCTTTTTTTTGCAGGAATCCAGGCACTTGTTGCTTCAAGTGTCCAGTCTTGAGCAGTATTTGCTCCACCTGCGCGCTCTCATGTTCCTGGAGCATTGTTCTGCTCAAAAAGGCTTGGTTGTGATTTAAGTTCATAACAGCCTGGGCTGGAAACAACACTACCGCAGTTAATATCAATAAAACCTGCCAAGGTATGCTACACACGCTACACATGTAATGTAAGCCGAACAGTGCTGAAAGCTTTCTGGATTTGATTTCAATCCAAAAATCCTGCGGTGACACTTTGGGGATTCCTCTCAGGACATGTTCTTCAAATAGATCTTCAGGGTGTCTTTTTTCGGCCTGAGATGAGACTCGAAGCCCGCCATGGTTCAGTCAGCGAGCGAATGCATGCGCGAGGCAATCTCTCGGACAGGGCAGTGGGGTTCCGTTCACTATATAGACATAAAAAACCAGCATACCCGTTGAAATGAATTGCTATTGACATCATAATAGCCGACAGCCGACAGCCGACCTCCAACGTGTATTTATGCTCTATCCCCTCACCTTACATCACCTAACCTACTGACAGTCAGTGCAGTGACAGTACCAAATCGGCAGCGCAGTGGATAGGACCGTTTGTACAGGAACAATTTGGTAGAACCCTTTGAACATATTTTGTTGTACTCATTTGTTGTCTTATTCGTTTATATATATATATATTTTTATACATATTGTATGTAATTATGACAAGCAGCATTTCGTGGATATCTCTCGGGTGGAGCGCATTCCATCGATCATAGACGAATTTCAAGCATGTCCTCAAAGAATCAATCTTTTTCGGGCACTCCTTTGTGCCCCACTTCCTTTGACAGCTTTGCTTTTCAGTCGGGTCGCCTCAGAGTCAGACAAAGCCGAAAAGGAACCCTGACCAAATTTTAGTCTTGCACTGTGTTGTTGGTTTTCTGAGACACTGATACCCCACCAATGAAATATACTATGTTTACTTTCAGCAGCATTTGTGTTTGCATTGCTGATATTGTATATAAAGGATGCCCATGCGTCATTAATGGTTGAAGCGTAGCAGAGCAACCCAAATAAAAATCTAAAGAAAACTAGTGTTATGGGGAAGTCGCCTGTAGGGTAATCAGAGCGGAAGAACTCCTGAATTGGGTTGTACCGCATGTAGAAAACACCAGCGATGGAGCCACGCCCCGGTAAAAGATTCTTGAGGTCTTTCGGTGTCAACTCCCACTGTCTCACAATCTCCGCCTTGGCTTTTGCCTCCTTCTCCTTCTGATTGTCGATGAGTTCCTGTTTGAACTTCTTCTCTGCTGACTCACGCACTTCTTCTTGAACATTGACGCGCACTGTCTTGTCATACTCTTTCATGGCCTGTTTCTTGATCTCCTTGAAGCACTCTTGGTTCTCCAAATCAAGTTGGCTGACAAAGGCTAGACAATTGAGGTCAACTTTGCCTTGCTGGTTTGCATTGGCTTTGTCAAGAGCATTGATGATAGATTCCCGCACTTTCTCCGTCTCTTGCGAAAAGATCGAGTTCACAAGAGCTCGGACCCAGTCAATTCGAATGACATTCCCTTTCTGACCGGAGCCTGAACCTTTGGCAGGCGGCGCTATCTTTAGGCTGAGGGCAAGACTCTGAAGCTGTGCAACAGTCAGAGATATGGTTGCCTCTCGCAAGGCAGCCCGTAATGGCCATTCAAAGCCTTCAATTCGAAAGACTGTGCCAAGTGACACCAAGTCTGTCGGCAAGCAACAGCCGGGAATTTGCTTCACCACAACAAGTCTCCAATCACTTGATTCTGACACATCAAAGTTGAAGATCCACTCCGGTCTGTCTTGCTCAAATGCATTGATAGAGGTCAAAAAGGCCTGTCACTGTCCAAAGTAAGAAGAGGTGTGAGAAGAAGCGCTGAAGAATAGACCTAAAACAAACAGTGAAACATACACACGAAATAAAACAGTAAATGGGAAGAACTCAGAAGTTTAAGTTTGCCAGGACACCTGTCCATCGGCATCCTTAAACATCCTCACACGGACTGCCACAGTTGCCCATTTCTTGAAGCCCAAGCTTTGCCAGAAGTTGCCCTTGTGCTCGAAAAACTGTCCTTGTGCAAAAAGAGCTCCTTCAGGGCAAAAACAATAGCGAATACGTGACCAAATTTCACAATGAACAAACTCTGAAACAGTCGACGAGTCGAAGGTTACTGCTACAGAAGTAAGAACATCGTCCCAAATTCTTTAATTAACAGGGACATGACAGTCATGTTTCCAACGTTTGTTTGTTGCCAGCTTTGACTCTATGGTCAGTCAGTGGCAGA